GTTTTACATTATTCAAGGAGGTTCTCATATTAAATTGATGGCTAAACTGGCGTGTCGTCACCTGCGTCATAAAAGTGTGAGAAGTCATCAATAATGGGCCTGTATTCATGTATATTGTTCCCCTGCTCGATGTCTAGCCGGGCAGGTTGTTAATTTTATGGTATAGACAACTTTACTGTTATACAGGCATTGTACATTTCCACAATTAGAATGTCTATTTTAATCAATCATCGAGCTGAGTGAAACTGACAATACAATTAATCGTTTTTACATATAGAAATATTGCAGACATGGTTAAACTTGGGAAGATAATGTAATACATAAGGCAGTAACGGTATATCGTTTCTTTGGTCAAAATATATTCGTATTTCCAAATAATTATTCTTAAATGACAACTATTTGGAGTACTTGAGGTTTAACGCCACTTTGAGGAGTATAACACTTCCATCACTGTTAATTTTGAAACAAGAATGAATGAGTGAGTATGGTTTTACGCCGCTTCTAGTAATATTCCGTCAGTAGCAAGGAGGGGGGCAGATATGGACTTCACACAATATAGGCCAGTGGGGAATCGAAGCCGTGACTAGCGAACGCTGTAACCATTAGGCTACCCAAACGTCGCTTTAAATCAGGAAATATATCTCTAAATGACTTATGACATCGAAAATGTCTTATTGCACCTAAGAGGTATATAGGGTTAAATCCTCCAGCTTCTGAATCAGTTTTAACAGTTCCCTGTTTTCGTATACCTAACAATTCACATCCCCGGATAAAATAAATTGCAAGAAAAATTGCCTTATCCTATAGGTCGTGTTGGATTCACTATTAGTCACGTTTAACTGAAACGTCTCTCCCTTCAACAGACCTTTAACAAAAACATCGGTCTAGCAAATCAGGTCAAAGGGTTATTCTTTCCGTCCTTGTTGTCAATTTCGCGTGACCTAGTCTCATTCCTAACGTTCAAGTCAGGGACTGTTTCACAACCTGATGTATTTAGACATGAAATACAAACCACCTTTAATACACATCTATAGAAAATCGCAAAGGCCGCGACGATCAGAGTAAGATAGATGCATGTAGATAGGTATCAAAACAAAGGATTCCTGGCCACACACGTCCGACGATGTTACAATATGATATAGCTGTCAGTGAGATGCTTATCCCTTGTGTAACGTATATGATTGACACTTGTGGTGTACTTTGCATGCCTATTTCAATGTTGTTGATTTCAGACATCACGACGACGTCAGATTGACAGTCAGACTGACATGTATGCTGTTAATTAAGATAAATCGTATTATTTTTGAGTCATCGGTATAAGCCGAACATAAATACGTGACATTTTGATGGATAATGTTAAAAGAACGGAAAATATTTTATATGTTTTCAATGAAAGCAGTATGATTACTTGAGCGTATGATGGATGTGTATTATAAATTTCTTTAAAGTGTCTCAAATAATTTATCAATTTAAAAATACAACGACCATGTAAACGTAACTGACTGTAATCTGAATAATGTGAAAACTTTTGATGTTATTTAGTTCCAATGCGTACAATTGACAAGATCAGGGGCTTGTATATTTTGAAATAGACATCAGAGCGGTCTGCACATCATCGGTAATTACTTAATATAAATCATCATGTTCATGTCAATTAATGACAATAGACACAACATATGTCGGAGCACATCTTGACATGTCTGTCATATTTAGCAAGTCAGTTTCATTCTTAACCATGTCAATTACAAAGATGCGTCTTTACGTACAATTAAGATAATTATTTCGGATCAAAGTCGGCGGGTTCGATGTAGATGTGTGAAAACGTCTGTTGGCGATAACCTGTCAAGTTGCAATTTGGGGCAAATACCCGCGGGTCCTCAAGAATCCCAGACAACATTTGGCCATCAAATGGATGTGATTTTGTCAATCGCACCTTCGGTTGTATCTTCAGGGTGTTAATTCTTTTACGGCCAACTAGACCAGCCGATTCATCAAATGGGATTAAGTCCGTTGAGCAAACAATTAAACATTACGAAACAATAGAAGGGAACATGGGTGGCCAATTACTTGAGTCCGGCAACAGGCTTCAGCCAATCGCCAGTGGTCAAGACAATAGGACCGCTAACCAAACAATAGGAGGTATTTCGGACATGTCCTTAGAGCCCGTCTGCCCATTATAAACAGCGATTACCCTGGCTGGGAGATTGTCTTGTATTTTGGTTTGCTTTGAGCCAATGGTGATGCCCAGAGGTGCCTACTGGTATTAAGTAGGGTGCGGGTCGGAGATAGATTACTTGTGTCTGTGACTGTGATGAGCAAGGTTCAATCCTGAGACAGTTTGGATAACAGTTAGTGTGACTGAACATAGCCAACTGGATACCATTACTGGAGTTTCCTCTACTGTAACGTGAGTAGATGTTATGTGATCATCTTTAATCAGTATTTGATTTGAAGTGGATGTGCTTTGAGAAATCCCTTGATTGTTAAATGATCTCAGTGGATCTGTGTGTAATTAAGTTTGAAATAGTACTAACGGGTGAAATGTTGAAGGGGAAAATAGTTTTGATACAATTTTATCATGATATATGTAAGTGATTTGAATGAATGTGGCAGATTTTAAACCGTGCATATATATATAAGGTGTTATGTGAGCATATATGTAACATTAAAAATTACTTAAGATTTAAATCATGGAATGTATGATTATTTTCATTCTTAACCATAATTCATATGACAGGACAGTGAACATGTTTAAACATACATTTCTCCCGTTGCTTTAATAATCTCTTCTCCGATGACAGTCAGGATGCACTAGTCGTGAGATGCTATGAGTTGCAGATGAAATATAATGACTGTGTTGTTGTGTAATATACCTCTACATAATCAACAAGTTTAGAATCTAATGAAACAATACTGGATTTTGCTGAAACTAGAATTTTTTGGTAAATGCTCAGTATTTTTAATGCTAAAAAATGTGGAACATTAAATATAAACCATTTTCTTCTATAAAATATTTTCTGTATTGAAAGACGTGTAGGTCCTCTATAGGACGACCTATGTTTAACATCCTAATCCCATGGCGTCCGGCTGTCATGATGAACGCTGTCTTCATCTTAACGTTAATGTTATCAGGAGTAGATCTTGTCATTCTGTCCTGCGTCTAAAGCACTCTGATTACGTTCTCCTCTCATCTGTTTACATAAAGCGACACAAAGCCTCCTCGACAATTCGCAATGTAAAGGTCACAGGTTAGAGAGTCGCCCCCTGCCCCACGTCGCTAGACCCTGCCCTGTTGTATTGTACAGGTTAAGTACTTCGCCGTTATTGACTGAGATGCTCTCTCTGAAGATAACAGAAGTACCTTGACAAAATGATTCAATTTGATTTAATTCAATTTTATTGTGTAATTCATTGTCACTCATCAATTCAACATATTACGTCAGAATTGACCCGTGCCTCCTTAATAAAGTGGAGAAAGTGTAAGAATTTCTCACACCTGTGAAACCGTGACGAGAAGCCGTTTGGAACCGGTGTAGGGGCATTTTGTACCCCATTGTTATTTGATTACGGGCGCTCCTATGCTTATTTCGGTCCCTTTGAGAGCCCTTAATGGATTTTCTCTGCGGCAAACAAACGGGCAATTTTAGGGTAGTGCTTTTGCCTCCAGCTAAGATATGATGGTCCGATACGAGAATGAATCATGTGATTCCCCAAAACGATAAAACTGAAATTATGTGCCCTCGTGGCTCGGCTTTGTTAAACGTGACCTGTGACTGTTTTCCACAGAGAGATATTTGTCTCATAAAACAGGTTTGCAAGTCTCAAAGCAGTGGCGCGATTTAAGTCTTTATTGAGGCACTGACAGTGTTTACGTCCCCAAAATTTATTTCATTATTTTTCATTTGCACTTTTATCGCGTTTATCCCATTTATCAGCCGAGAGACACCCCTAAGATAATGTGACTCCAAAAGGCGATAGTGTGCCCTATTCATGAATTTATTTTATCAGTAAGTTTCGTTCATAAGCTTCATATACACACCATTAGCACTTAAGTCGCGTTTTCACTTTGAATTTTGGATTTTGTTTAGACATTGGGATTAGCCTCCGACAGTTTGTATGTACCTGTGGCAGCTTTATGTGAACTATCAAGATTTTATGTGGCTTAATTGTCTTGCACGTTAGAGATTTGGACAGGTTATCGAATAAAGGGTAATTTCAAATTTGTCCCGTCTTTCAAACATTACAGTACATTTCCATTAACTATTATCTTTGTGTTTGGTGTTGAGATAAAACAAACCCATAAGTGTACATTTCATGTCAGTCTCCCTAAACCGTGCATACACAACCACGTGTCAATATAATAAATTGTCTCTTTTTCATTTGAGCGTTGACTCGTCTTGTCACTAATAGAGTAATAAATTTAGAAATTCAATTTCAAGAATTAGGGTGTCCGTATGCTGATATACGCGTTGAGAGCGACAAAGGCTGTCTGTTGGGACGGCACGGAGGTCGGATTGTTTATTTCATGTATATTTCAACCACGAGTCAGTCAGGCGTACATAACATGTTATTGAAAGCACAGTCTCATCATTCGTCGAGCGCCTCATTGAGAGAGGGTCACAAGTGACATGTGTCGGTGGAGCGACTCGCGGCCACCAATATTTGCTTGTCCTCATTGAGGAAGCGTGTCTAGAATACAATCGTCATTGTCACAGACATTCTTGTATATTTCACACTTTGTATACGATGGACGTACAGGGACGTACTATAGGCGCATGTCAATTTCACCATTATATTGGTCGATTTCATTCCGATGGGTTCCTGTGTATATCACAATAAAACAGGATCAACATTGTAGCCGAGATGAGTATGTTTATTTTGGACATGGTGGTCCTATGTGTTCATTATCTTTTTGACATGCTAGGTGAAATTGAAGCTCGTGTATTTCACGTTGGTGATTCGGAGTGACACGGTGTTAATATCTCTCTTGTATATTTCAGACGAACCAATGCTGTAACGGACACGGAGGATAGGAAGATTGCAATATGGCGATGCTAATTTCAGCGCTAATGGTTCTGATTTCAACGACGCTCGTCAGTTGTCAGAATATCACTTTTGAGATCGCGGAAGGACAAGAAGCCCCCGTGTCGGTTGGGAATGTGGCCAGCGCATCTAATCTTCAACAACAGGTTGGCGAGACTGAGTTTCGGGCCCTGAGGTACAGCATTGTCTCTCAGGAAAGCAAGGTGGATACCTTCTTCAGAGTTGATGAAACATCGGGGGAAATATTCACAACCGACGTGTTGGACCGTGAAAGTTTTTGTGAACATGTGTCACTGTGTTTGTTGTCGCTGGATATAGCAGCGCAGTCATCTAGAAGCGCCTTTTTCAGAAAAATCACAGTCAGCATCAACCTGAAAGACATTAATGATAACCCACCACGTTTCGGGAATTCAGAATTTCGATACAATCTGTCTGAAGGCGCATCAGTGGGGACAAAGATTTCACTCCCGCTTGCAACAGATAAAGACTCGAATGAACAAAACCTTGTGCAGCATTATCAACTTTCACCCAGTTCTCTGACATTCGCTCTTGATCCTGTTACAACAGATGGTAAAATTTCTAGCTTGTCATTATCTTTGACAGGTGAAATTGACAGAGAATCTCAAGACGAGTATGCATTTATTCTGAAAGCTACTGACGGTGGGAGTCCTACAAGGACAGGTACTCTCTCCATAATTATTAACATAATCGACGAAAATGACAATGAACCTGTTTTCCAGCGCGGTATCTACGAAGCCACTCTTCCAGAGAGCGCCGATATTGACTCCACCGTGGTGCAAGTGTCAGCTGTCGACATCGACATGGATGAAAACGCCAAAATATCCTATTTTTTCTCAATACCAACTCAAGAACGCGTTTTGAAGCATTTTTCGATTGAGGAATCTACGGGACTTATTAGCGTTAAATCCACTTTGAACTCTGAAGGTGGTTCAATCTTTGATTTCCAAGTTAAAGCAGTTGATCACGGAAACCCTCAACTGTTTGCCGAGGCTCAAGTCATCGTCGCTGTCACCGACAACGTTAATGACCCTCCTGTGATTGACGTTAAGTTGTTGTTCGCTGAAGACGGTGCTGCTGCCGTTCCAGAGTCGTCTACTATTGGTAGAACTGCAGTGTTGATTTCTGTGAAGGATTCTGATTCGGGAAGAAATGGACTGGTTGCTTGTCAAATCAGTGGTCAGTATTTCCAACTCCAGAAACTTGAACAAACGGAATATAGAGTGATAGTTGCTCGGTCGTTAGATCGGGAAGGAATGCACGTGCATAACGTGACTGTCACGTGTCAGGATCAGGGCACGCCCCCTTTGTCTTCCAGCCAGGAGTTCCTGATCCGTGTTACCGACGATAATGACAATCCCCCGCTGTTTTCACAAGAAAAGTACTTCAAGAGTATTGACGAAAACAACGCTTTCCCGGTGTCGTTAGGCGAGGTCAAAGCCAGCGATAAAGACTTTGGTAAAAATGGTGAAATCGTGTACAAACTTGATACTCTTGCTTCCCTGTCCTTCAATATTGACGAATCCACAGGTGAAATTTCGGCCATTAGGACTTTCGACAGGGAGGCGGTTCCGAAATATACGTTTAAAGTGTTTGCAGTTGACAAGGGTGAGGTACCATTGACCGGAACGACCACCGTTGTTGTCAACATCGGCGACAAGAACGACCAGAGGCCCGCCTTCTCCAACGTATCGTACGTGTTCTCTGTAAAGGAGAATTCTCCCGTTGGTACTTTCGTTGGAAAAGTTAAAGCGACAGATTCAGATGTTGGTAAAGGAGGTGAAGTGCAATACACACTGCGTGGATCGCCTGTCAACGGTGTTATACCTTTCACAGTTAATGCAAAAGGTGAAATCAGCACCGCGGCTGAAATTGACTACGAATCGATGGAAACATACAATTTCGACATTCTGGCGTCCGACCTTGGCACCCCGCCACAGATAACATCAGTGCCAATCAAAATCCGTATCCTTGACGACAATGACAACCATCCCGAAATCAATTTCCCTGTGCCAAGCAACGACTCAATTTCCATCCCCACAATATGGAACCCGGTACTGAAATTGCAATTGTGCAAGCCTATGACCTAGACTCTGGACTCAATGGATGGCTCACGTACTCAATCGTCACAGCTAATCAAACCGGCTTGTTTCAAATCAGCGCCAGCAGTGGTGTCATCAGACTCGGCCGTGCAGCCACGGACAAGGATGTGAAGAAGTACAACATCAACATCAGCGTTCACGACGACGGCACCCCCCAGAGAGCCACCTACGCCGTCCTCAACGTTGAAATCGTTCACGCAGACGCTTATACAGCGACGTCCAGTGACACGAACATGAAAATCGTCATTGTCCTCGTCTGTATAACAGCTGTATTAGCTATTGTAGTCCTTGGAACTCTATTCACTATTCGATACGTGGACAATAGGCGCAAATACAAAGACTACACCGATGGCGAGAAGAGCCAATATTCCTCATCCAAATCTTCTTCCAAGAGGAGTAAAAAGGAATTTAACGAATTAAAACCTGGTATTATTCTGGTCACCGAGGGTAACAAGCTCACGAAGAAGACTGTGACTTTTAAAAATGACACTAAAGACAACAAAAGTGACGTTTTCGCTACGGAGGAATCTCAATACAATCAACTGAGGCACTTGAGTGAAAGTCAGAATAAAAGCAATACAGCGTCACCAGCTAAAAATAATAAAAAGGTAGGCATTCCATATGAAAATATGAGTTTACATCAATCAATACATTATGATTTATAAATACATGAGTTAATCACATGTCAGTGTCATTTAGTAAAGGTCAATCAATACGTTGTAAAATATCAAATAAATACCAAATTTAATCATATGTCCGTAATGAACTCATTTATATTGCATTAAATTTAACGATGACATGTTTGCCTATTCAAACACGATTGTTTATGATCTGTAGTAGTTGACATCATGATTTGAAATGGACATCACTAATATATTTCATGTCTATTTCAGTCACGAGTGCCATCTTCCTCCAGCTCAATAGAGGGGGAAGTTAGTGTGGTGGACATCCTCCATCAACACAAGGCATTAGTACAGTCTCTCCGTTTAAAGAAGACTCCTAATAATGTAAGTATATCGTCAATGGGAATCGTACTGGTATATGTCATGTCCATAACGTAAAGAAGCCTTAAGCAATGCCTGCCATGAACTGAGTGAATGAGTTTAGTTTTACGCCGCACTCAGCAATATTCCAGCTATATGGCGGCGGTCTGTAATCAAGTCTGGACCAGACAATCCAGTGATCAACAGCATGAGCATCGATCTACGCAATTTGGATACGGTGACCTGTGTCAACCAAGTCAGCGAGCCTGACTACCCGATCCCGTTAGTCGCCTCTTACGTCATACATGGGTTACTGAAGATCAATTCTAACCCGGATCTTCACGGGTCTGCCATGTACTGACAACGGCTGTTGCACAATATCAGAGAAAGAAATGTCTGATTGTTTTGATTTTTATTTACTACAAACCATGATAAATTCGATTGACCGTTTGGTATTAAAACATATGGATAATGGAAAGAGAACCCGATTTACTAAGTATTTAACATTTGACTGTAATGCTCATATGTTATGTATTATTACAGGCAAAAGATGGAGAGAAGGACCCGGATGTTTGGAGTGACACGTCAGGGGAGACAATCGGAACTGATAGCGGCCATGGCGGAAGTGACCTTGACATGAACAATAGTCTCAAGGTAAAGCTTTGTCCTGAGGTCACAGCTCTGAAAACGTCTTCATGAAATTCAAAGAAAATATTACACATCTCCATTAAAGGTTATGCCGTTGTGCAAAAGGACATATAAAATGATATTTTCAACATTGATGCATTTCTGAAGAAGAATATTTGTTAATGTGTAATGGTGATCTTTTTGTATGAATTTTGGTGTGAGTTTAGTGGTTTAAAATGTCTTTATTTTGATCTTCCAGATGTCCGTTTGATGCAATAGCTTCCAGACACCTGTTCAGCTTTAACCTTGCGTCAGCATTACCACGCGTCACATACCAGTGAATACATGTTCATTTCATATCCTGATTGACACTGCCAAGGTCATTACTCCACGCAGATGAAATCGACATGTGAATCACAAGTCCATCGATCCAATGAAATGTCTACCAAATGTGTTTTATAAATGAACTTTGAAAAAATCGAAAGTGTTATTTTTCAGACATATATATGTTCACCCTGACAAATTGTAGAAATTCAACTTTGAATTGATTGATCTATTTTATACATAATATATACGCCAACGTGTCAATACATAATATATGCAACGATGTCAAAATATGGGTACAATGTACACTATGATTCAGCATAAATTCTCCGAAGTGCATAATCAGTTCCATTGGCCGAGAACTTACTGTCTTATACATTGCACAAATAATATGTTCATTTCGTGTGTCCATCATTCTTAACAACATTGGTCCACTTGCTCACTCTTGTTCATTGCCGTTATACAGATGTATATTTCTTCATTGTTTGTACATAGCACTTGTTAATTTTGTACGTTTACATTGTTATTGTTAATAAATTGACTAATGAATTTACATAACTGTCTGTGTTTCTCTGAAATGACGATCACACATTGCCAATGCAGTGAAGGCTGGGCCGTGTTTAAGCTCGATTGGGGCATAAGGTACAGTAATAGGCGCCCTAATCATTCATAAAGGCTATAAACACTCAACTTATTATAGCTAATTTACATTAAACATGGTAAAATGCTACGGTTATACATTATGGCTTCCCTGTAGCACATACCAACTGGTCCCGAACTGGGACAAAAACATTATCATAATTTATAATTGGTTCGTTGGTCTGAAACTTTTCACAAGCGACAGCTGTGGTCGTTTTGGGGATAAACCGTAAACTGTTAGAACGGGTTTTAAAAAGTTATACATTATTCCCTCAAATTTCTGTAACCACAATTTCGCACAACGAGGGAAATAGGTCTATTCGAGAAACATTAACAGGTAATAGGTCCACCAAAAATTTCTAATTATCACCAAGACGTATTCATGGTTAGAAACTTCGTTTTAGTTTCTTGTCCTTAAGGCGTTTCTACATAGTCACCATCCAAAGTTACACATGACTCTCAACGTTTCTTGACCTTGCGCACACGCCTGAATTTAGACTAATGCTTAGTCTCTGAATATATATATAATTTTGATAGTAACAAACAAGCCCATTTAAATTGAAAAGGAGCCCTAGGAAGACCAGAGCCTGAACCTCAGGAAATCTAGACTTGCTTTATTTAGGGCTTTAGCACTGCCAGAGAGGGCTTTGCAGTAGGGAAAATAATGTGGTTCAGGGACTGTGAGACAGACTAGCCTGAATTGAACCCCTGATTTCATGAAAAACCAACCCCCCACGTCTTGAATGGGGATTGGTATCGTCAAAACGGCGCCCACTTCAGTGCTCATCTGTGAGGGACATATGACCGCTTTGAAAATTCTCACAACAGTATCGTAAGATGGGGTATCTTTGCCATAAACAGATTTCATCTCCTCGTGAATCTGTCGGGCAGTGCAGCCCTGCAACTGCAAAAACCTGATAACACTGCGCGGCTCAATTTTCTCCATGCTTGGGGTTACTCGTGATAAACTAGCACAGGATTGAATGAAGAGAAGTAAATAGTTTTTGGTCCATTAACTAGAAAAGGATCACTTATGTTACCTTCAAATTTTCATAATAATTTCTCAATAAATTCATGGCGATAAATAGAAGTTTTGCTATTTCCGGACATGTACTTTAATGACCTCGCTATTTGGCATCAATGTCAACTGTGCCATATATTAACCCACTGATTCTGTACTTGCAATAATTATGAATGTTCGATACCAGTGATATTATTTCAATTGATTGAATACAGTTAAAGCCAGTACATGTTATTGACAAATATATTGCACTGGGTGGATGAGGTAATATGCTTGGTAGTTTGCCAATGGCTTTTCGTCACGTGCCACGATGTTAATGAATACTCACTCACTCACCCAATGATATTCAGTAATATTCAGATCACATTGATGAACAATTCATTTTAGATTTCATAACACTTTACATCACAATGCATGGGTAAACTGATCGTATTTGGTCATTTGGATTCTAGTTCCAATCATTTGCCAACGTTTCGAGTACGATAAATGAGAAAAGTCAAGGCGAGGGAAATAATATTGTTTATCGCCGCAGTCGGCACTAAGACACGTTGACGTGAACGTAAGGGTGTTCTTCCAAGACGAAACAGTGGTTAATTCGATTCATACCCTCGGGGTAAACTGATTGAGTGAGTATGGTCTTACGCCGCTTTTAGCAATATGCCAGCAATATCACGGCGGGGAACACCAGAAATGGGCTTCACACATTGTACCCATGTGGGGAATCGAACCCGGGTCTTCAGCGTGATGGACGAACGCTTTAACCACTACGCTACCCCACCGCCCTGGTACACTGATACATTCTCACACATGGTGACTCTGAAGTAGCCTGGTAGTGGGTTCTCAGTTGAAGAAAAGTCCCCACAGGGTACACGGGGCAGCCCTGGGTGATAGTCGGGCGATAGTCTGTCTCACAGTCCCTGAACCACATTGATGCCAAGCCCTCTCTGCGGTGCTAAAGCCCTAAATAAAGTCTAGGTCTGGTCTCCAGGGCTCCTTTCAACATAAATGGGCTTGTTTGTTACTATCAAAATTATATATATTCAGAGACTAAGCCTTAGTCTAGGTACAGGGGACAGCCCTGGGTGATAGTCGGGCGATAGTCTGTCTTACAGTCCCTGAACCCCATTACAACCGTATGTTACATACTGCCTAGCCCTGCAATGCTAAAGCCCTAAATGAAGCAAGTCTAGATTTTCCCAGGTTCACCACGGCTCCTTTTCAATTTAAATGGGTTTATTAGTTACAATCAAAATTCTATATATTCAGGGACTAAGGGCCTATCGTGCGAATGAGTGACTTAGTTTTTGAACAATGCAAAATATGCAGATGAAAATGATTCTTCTAACTACACTTCCAACACATCGTCCAGGACTGATGCAAGTGCATAATTGATTTGCCTTTGCGTGTGTTTTGGTGGCACAGAATACGCTCACGTTGCCGTGAACACTATTGGTGATTCATGGATTCTACAGTCGGAATCGTAGACTTAACTGTTTTTAGCAGAGATTTCCTTCGTTCACGGAAGTGGGTTTAAAGCTTTTATTGTTCAGGGTGTCGTTGTACAAAACGATCTTAGCGCTAAGGTTGCCGTAACTCCCATACCTTAGCATAGACTTAAGATAGTCTTAGCGGTAAAGCTGTTTTGTACAACGGCACCCAGGTATAGAACGGCATGTCGGATTATAGCTGGGTAAAGTGGCCAAAGTCCTATGTGTATGCTGCTGATGGCTTATGGAGCTAAAGAATAGGATTTAGTACTAACACACACGGGGAATGGTACTCTTGATATCGTGACGATATTGGGATACCCGGGTGTACAATAAGTAGATATAATGCCTTTGTAGTCAGACAATACTCTCATACAAGTAGGGGAACATGAACTTTGAAGTCATTTGGGAAGTACTAGCGTTAACAAACTTTTCAAAGACAGACATCTTATGAAAGCACCACTATTTCCCTTTATCACTTCCCCTAAACACAACGCATGGGATGCACGTGCACAACGCAGTAGCCTCATACACGTGCATGGGATGTCTTTCTTGATTTTGACGGTTTTCAAGAAGGTCGAGAAATCACTGTTTGACAATCATCTTGACAAAAATCGTACACAGGTAAATTTTACGTCATACATCAATCATCTTTCAAGAGCGATTGCTGTACTGTACTATGGTCATAAGCAAGTGCAACATTGACTCCGACATATCTCCCATCTGTTTCAATGATAAATTAAAAATGAAGTTTCCCTATTTTTTCTTGAAGAGTATATACTGACACGGTACAGCATGAACGAATTCTTTAGATGAAATATGTATAATTAATTTAACACAAGGTTTATGTAAGCATGAAAACTTAATATAAAGCACAAACCCACTCTCCCATCACTATGGTGGCCATATTTTAATTGTGTTTTTAATTGTGTTATTGGAGTGTTTAGCATCCATCTTCAAAGTGGATGTCGGATAGACGTGGATTAACACACATCACATATTTCACAAGGCTTACCCCAACACGGACGATTACTTTTCACATTCTTTGACGATCTTTCAAGAAAGGAATGATATAATGAGCACTTACAAAACCATTATCACAATACAAGCTCTGTGAATGTGACATTGAAGCCACGGACAAAGAGAAATATGCAGTTTTAAAAAAGATAATAATAAGAAAGAGGAGTGATGTTTAGAATGTCTATAATCCCTTTAACAAACTTAAACAACCCTTGACGGCTTGACATGCCTCATGAATTTCAATCTCTTTTAAAAAAAATATCATAAACCCCCTTTTCATTTCAACGAATAAGGAGAAGACGGTCGTTGCACGCCGATGGTATTATTGTTAATATAAAATCAAAATAATAGTGGTAAATGTCTATTGTCGTTAATGTCTTCACTCAATGTGAAGGCGTTGTTATAAAGTATTGAACGTAAGACTCATTTAAAGAGGGGTTGGATTTCTGTAGAAACCAGGTACGTTGGGTATAGATTCCAGTGGAAGTTTACAAGACTACACTTCCAACACATCGTCCAGAACTGATGCAAGTGCATAATTGATTTGCCTTTGCGTGTGTTTTGGTGAATACGCTCACGTTGCCGTGAACACTATTGGTGATTCATGGATTCTACAGTCGGAATCGTAGACTTAACTGTTTTTAGCAGAGATTTCCTTCGTTCACGGAAGTGGGTTTAAAGCTTTTATTGTTCAGGGTGTCGTTGTACAAAGCGATCTTAGCGCTAAGGTTGCCGTAACTCCCATACCTTAGCACAGACTTAAGATAGTCGTAGCGGTAAAGTTGTTTTGTACAACGGCACCCAGGTATAGAACGGCATGTCGGATTATAGCTGGGTAAAGTGGCCAAAGTCCTATGTGTATGTTGCTGATGGCTTATGGAGCTAAAGAATAAGATTTAGTACTAACACACACGGGGAATGGTACTCTTGATATCGTGACGATATTGGTATACCCGGGTGTACAGTAAATAGATAAAATGCCCTTTGTAGTCAGACAATACTCTCATAAAAAGATGGGGAACATGAACTTTGAAGTCATATGGGAAGTACAAGCGTTAACAAACTTTTCAAAGACAGACATCTTATGAAAGCACCACCATTTCCCTTTATCACTACCCCTAAGCACAACGCATGGGATGCACGTGCACGTCGCAGTAGCCTCATACACGTGCATGGGATGTCTTTCTTGATTTTGACGGTTTTCAAGAAGGTCGAGAAATCACTGTTTGACAATCATCTTGACAAACATCGTACACATATGTCAATTTTCAGAGCGATTGCTGTATGTCCTATGGTCATAAGGAAGTGCAACACTGACTCCGACATATTTCCCATCATTTTCAATGGTAAATTAAAAATGATGTTTCCCTATTTTTCTTGAAGAGT